GTGTGTGTGTGTGTGTGTGTGAGGTGAGCACTGTAGGATTAACTTGAGATTCATATTGAAGTGTCAGCCACACGGGGCCTGAGCTGTCACAATTTGTTCCTGAGGCAGCAGCTCCCATGTAGCATCACGATACTTTAACAGATGAGATTTAGTTGCTGCCCCCGTGTGTAGAAGTAACACAGTGAGGATTTACAGTCGACAACATGCACTCTTCTTATTCACCGGTCATCTGAGGAGTACTGCTTTGTAATAACTCATTTATTTTGACTGTCAGATCTTTAGGTCAGCTAACAGGACACTGCTAATGACTTACATTCATTGTAGAAATAGAGGCTCTCCTCTTACATGTCAACAGTATAGCCTGCAGCTACAGCCAGCACTGGGATTCGACGCCTCCATCTCGTATGGCTGACCACTCTGCAGATCCGACATTGATTTATCCCTCCTGTCTCCATTATCCATTACCTGCCACATAGTCTCAACGGTGCTGCTGTGTCTAACCAAAGATGGATCGGACCATCATTCATACGTCCCTCTCTGTCCCCTCCCCCACACACTTACATCTCGCTTAAGGGGTTATCGACATGGCCCCTTTACTACAGTCAGTAGGCTGGACCCCAGGAAGGAGTTTGAACATGTCACTCAGGAATAATTGACCTTTTTTTCCTGCAACGGTTGCATTGCTGGTGATCAATACTTAGCCTGCAGCATAGGCTCCTGTTTTGAAAGGGTTTGCCCAGCTCAGATTGACATGTATTTTAGATTTTCATAGCTTGAACATAACATACATTAGAGATTTATTCATATGGCTTGATCGTGCAATACAGCCTGACTGTGATGCAGTTTTTTACATTTTACGTTGTGTTACAGACTGGCATCATCTTTTGCCTGGAGCTCATTGAGGGATTTGTGCTCTCATGCACGTGCCTCTCTTTCCAAAGACTTTCACAGGCACCAGTATGCGAGTTAATTCACTTCTCCTTTTAACAAGGATGCTGTTTTTATGTATGTTGTTCTACAGGGGAGCAATGTCATGGAAGACCAGGACTTGAGAGAGATTGGGATCACAGACCCGAGCCACAGGAAGAAGATCCTGCATGCAGCGCGTTCGTTACCTAAGGTGACAAATCATTGATTAATACTGCAGCGCTTATCTCAGCAGAGCAAGACCTGATTAGATGTCATGTGTTGCCTGTGATGTTAGATCACAAGATGCTGATCTCCCCTAAATACCCAGGCAGTGCTGGGAAGTAACTAAGTACATTTACAATGCTACTGTACTTAAGCACAATTTCAAGGTGCTTGTGCTAGTATTTGTATTTTAAGGCTACTTTACACTTACACTCCACTATAAACTTTTTACTCCACTATATTCATCTAATAAATATAGTTATGGGTTGCTTTTAAAATTAAGGCCTAGCATAAAAAAATTAATTATGCGCTTATAAAATATTATGCATTATTAAAAGATTAAACCATTAACCTCTTTGGCTTGGACCTCCTTGCAAATAACATTGTCTAGTTGGTGCCTTGTGTCACATTTCAGATGTATAATAGTTGTTGTCTAAACTGTCCAAATGGTTTAATGTAAATACCTGTTCCTGCTCTTTCAGGCCCAAACAAGTAAAATATACAATATTTCTAAAAAAAAAAAAAAAAAGGAAAATATTAGAGGAAAGTCCAAAAAAGGAAAATAAATTTGTGTAGCAGAACTTTGTTTTTTCATCTTTTGCTTCATCTCATGATGATTAATTGAGGGCGTCTGACCTCTAGTTGGGGAGCAATTTGACTAAACTAACTACCTGTATATAAAGTGGTTGAAACTACTCCCTCGAGCAGCTGCAACAATAAAATGCTGTGTATGCTGTTTGTTACTCCAGTATTAAAAACTGAATAACTAGTTTAGTAATACATGATATCAGTCGCAGGGAACCATTGTTCTGTGAGTAGTTTTATGCTTAAACCTTTAAGGATATTCACAGTTTTGTATTTTTACTGAAGTAGGATTTTGAATGTCAGATTTTTACTTGTGATGGAGTATTATTACATTGTGGTACTTTTACTCAAGTAAAAGATCAAAACTAACCCTAACCACCACTACAGTTGTGTAAATGTAATCTATAATCTGTTACCTCATTCAAATGACTTTTCTACACCACTTGCACAGGGTTATTGTAGCCAGATCCATAATAACAGGCAGGAAAATTGGTTAAAAATGCAGCACGTGCAGTGGCACAGCTCTTAGAGCATCAGTGAATCGTTTCTTCTCTTACAGGTGAAAGCGCTGGGCTGTGATGGCAGCAGCTCCCTGTCCTCCTGGCTGGAGAATCTGGGACTGCATGAGTACTTACACAACTTCCTGGCCAGCGGCTACCGCACTCTGGACTGTGTCAAAAACCTGTGGGAACTGGAGATTGTCAACGTGAGTCTCAGTGACGTACAGGGACTATGAGGAGTATCAGAGGGTGAAATTAGTTTCACAACGTGTTAAAGAAAATTCAGGATAAGAGGCAAGTTTGACAGTTTACTTCAGCTGCACTTTGAGGAGCCAGGAGACTCAAACAGACTCATTCTAGAGGAGCACACGGGAAATAAGCCTGCGGGCTTTATTGTGTTTTCATCCTCTGATTTTTTATGTATGTAATGACTACAGCACAGTGTTATATGTATTTTTAATCATCAAATAAATACATTTATTTATTAACTCATCCAGTCATTCAAACTCTGAAGGGGAAAACACAAAACTTTGGTTTTGAATGTTAGGGGAATATTTTTCAGTGCTTCAGCTGGTTAAAGGTTCAAAGGTCAGAAAACAAACCTTTAACATTTAAGGTGCTGACACTTTAAGAAGAAATGAACACGTCAGTTTTGAAAGAGAGAACTGGAGACTTGCACATAATGATCTGATAATTATCTCAAAACAAACTGTTAAAACAAAGACACTTTAGTCAGAGCTCTTCCAAGATGAGACAATTACAGTCTCATTTAAGGTTAAAAGCTTGAATACTTATGGGGAAGTTGTTATGTCAGTGACAGTGTCTGGATTCTCTTGACATGCCTCCTCCTTTCTGGCACTCCTGCCTCCATGAGTGCCGCTACTCATTTTCCTCTTTATTTTTTTTCTTTTTTTTTTTTCCCCAGGTGCTAAAGATCACCCCACTTGGTCACAGGAAACGCATCATTGCTTCCTTAGCAGAGAGACCCTATGAAGAGCCTCCCGTCAAACCTCCTCGTTTGTCTCAGATCAGGGTGAGAACCCACACACTCATACACTGTGTCACCAGCAGGTTTACAACACTCATCTACATTTTTCTTTTTATACACATTGAAATGACGTGTGGTAAGAAGGGATTAACAGGAGTTTGATGGTTTTCTATCCTGTCAGACTTGGCTCTATTAGTTTCAATCACTCTTTTCTTTTTCTTTTCTTTTTTTTTTTTTTGAAGTCCACAAATTCTGCAAAGCATGTTTTTTGTGAAGGATGAAGTACAAACTTTCTCTCTCCAGTGCCAAGACCTGCCTGGATCCCAGACCTCGTCTCCCCTCAGTCAGATGGAGTCCTACACGGGACGCTCGATGGACCCGCTGCTGCCTGCTGGAGAACCAGGGAGGAAAAAAGTGCCAAATACCGACTATGAGGTCACCCAAAGATACCGCAGTGAACGACACAGAACTCATGTATGTTTCGGTTTATCTTTATCCCTCACTTCAGCAGTACGTCATGTCAGAGGATCTCTATGTGATGTAGTGATTGTATTGCTCACCTGCCAGACATCGTTGATAATAATAATAATAATAATAATACTTTGAATAATCATTCCAGGAACGGTATGAAGAACGGCATCGAGAGCCTCGCCTGACCTTGCGGCCGCCCAGTCTGGCAGCACCGTACACCCCGGTCCAGAACTGGCATCACCAACCAGAGAAACTCATCTTTGAATCCTGTGCTTACGAAGCCAATGTACATTTACGCTTTTCTCCTTCCTGAATGATGTTGTTTTCATTGAACATATACAGCAACACTGACAGTTTCCTGTTTCCTTTTCCTATTTAGTACCTCGGTTCCATGCTTATTAAAGATCTGCGGGGTACTGAGTCCACGCAGGATGCTTGCGCCAAAATGCGGGTATGCTACGAGAGTTTCTTCTCCAGTCTCGGTGAACAAAAACATGTTATGCATATGAATGAACGGTAAATCACCCTGATGTCCTTTCTCCCTGCACTATTCTTTTCTCCTCCAGAGGTCGACAGAACAAATGAGAAAAGTCCCGACCATCGTCCTCTCCATCACCTACAAGGGTGTGAAGTTTATCGACGCAGCCAATAAGGTTCGCTACTACATCCACATACATGGCCCTGCTTGGTTTAACCTTGCACATCTTTAGTTTCATGTTATACACAATCTTGAACACGGTGCAAGTAACAGCTGATTGTTTGTGAAAGTGTTACAGTCAGGCATCATGCTTTTTTTGGATGCATAATAACATCAGGCAAAAGGACTGCTAATGAAAACGAGCCTTTTGGCTAACTTAGGTAAATGTACATTTATTTGACTGTTGATTAATGAACATTGTCCCTCTTCAAAAGAATGAAAATGCTCTCTGTGATTGTAAACGTCAGACTCGTCCATGTTTGTAGTTCTCAACAGGAGGCGAGTCTGCTCGTATTGTTATTCATTTGACATTAATAAAAAAAAAAAAGACATCGAGAGGTTGCCTTGGAAGCTCAGCCTGCTTCTCCTTTACACGGCTGCACTGTGAAACCCGATTCATGCCTCGACGTCTCCTCTTCACTGGCCGTCTCCTGTCAACTCATATTTCCATGATGCATCGTCATTTACAGCTGTGTGTGTGACAAAGCTTGATAATCTTTTTGTGTTGCGATGAAGCGGTAATTTTTCGGTCTGTATGGTCCCGTTACAGAACATCATCGCAGAGCATGAGATCCGGAATATCTCCTGTGCAGCCCAGGACCCCGAGGACTTGTGTACGTTTGCCTACATCACCAAGGACCTGCAGACCAGCCACCACTACTGCCATGTGTTCAGCACAGTAGACGTGGTAAGGATACCCTTGCTGTCACCCTCATTTTAGCACAGACGAGGTGACCGCACTGAAAGGAGAACTTTTAGCGAGTGTTGAAAACTTTCCTCGCCGGTACATTTGAATTCCGCCGGCATCATCTCCTGTACTTACACTGAGCAGATGTGACGGGCTGCACAGTCAACACTGTTATCTCCAGACTGCCCTATCTCTTCAAGGTGTCACGCTTCAGTTGGGGTTGATTGCCTCCACATAGACACAGTGCGACTCTGGCCATGATAACTAGACCTCACTTATCTCCTGTCCCGCCCCCCGAGATCTGATGATTATCCTGCTAATCTTCTTCATAATGCAGCCGGGGTCATTCCAGACAGCGCTCAGCGTAACAACAGTTTCCTCTGGGTTACTGTAGATCTCTGTGAATTCCTCCGTGGGGGCTGAAACAAAGCAGATAACCATCAAAGGCCCGCAATCAGTTATTTTAAACTGTATTGAACGTACTGCCGCTACGAGCAACCACCAGACGCAATCCTCACCTCACAAAGAGCTGATGTCGTCTGCCTGACACATCAGGGCAGATGACGTATTCGTGTCAGGACAGATTCCTGATCGAAGGATATGCAGATGATTTCAGAGCTCTGTGTTCCGTGTCTGTAGAAATAATGCTTTTTAACTTCCCAAGCCATGTAGTGTGAAGCTTGAGTCCTCTGTCTGTAGTCTGAGGTGCTTGTTCATATTTGGAAGCTGTCGGGAAACTAACAAAAGAATGCAGCAGCAGATTTAATACTAAGCTACAGAGGATGAATCCGGTTCAGGTACTGAGGGGAACAATACTCCACTGAGATTACTGCCACCTCTCCGTGTTACGCAATTCTGTTTTGAAGAAGTTTTAGTGAAAAGAAACTTTTCTCTGATAATTTTTTTTTTTTATTATTATTATTTTGCTGTCTCACTACAAACTGAGTGGAGTCTTGTTTTCCTGACACAAAACAAAACAATTTTCAAGATCTGCCTGCTCTTCCTCTCCTTCTCTTTCTGTGTAGAACTTGACCTATGAGATTATACTGACCCTGGGCCAGGCGTTTGAGGTAGCCTATCAGCTGGCTCTGCAGGCCCAAAGGACCAAACAGCACCAGAACCTTCCAGCGGGACACGGTTCAGAGGTCATTGAGGGCAAGTCCGGCCGACCCGTACCCAAACCACGAGGCAGCGTGCGGAAGTCAGCGGTGAGTTGGACATCAGACGTACTGTAGCACAAGACACCATATAGATACACCACACAGCAGGGAGCTGGTTACGGTCATTTGCCTGCTGATTCGGCAGTTGGAACTGCAGCAGTGGACGTGACACACAGCTCGTGGAGGCAATAACAGTGCTTTAAAACTCATAGAGAATCTGAGTCTGAATTTGGATGCAAATTGCAGCAATGAGATGCTGAGTCATAACTGTGAACACACAGACATGATGCACATGTTTTTTTAGAGTCAATGGGATGTACAATTTAAAACCAAGTAATCCAGTGATTGTTTTTTGTAAATCTATGGGTACATAGTACAGTGTACAAATGGCTAATAGCTAAGTCAGCATACTGTTAATCATGTCAATTTACAAAAATGTAAGCAAATATAGGCTAAACTGAGCCAAACTGTACTCCACACCTAAATAAGGTGGGTTTAAAGACATTTGCAGAATTCAGCATCCACCATTTGTTTAAAAAAAAAAAAGACATCTGCTTTAATAAAGTGTCTACAGGCATAAAGCTGAAGCAAGGAGAGGTCTGAACTCCTGCAGCACTTGTAATGTAACAACTTTATTGTGAGACCAGTGTGTTTTTCCGGCTCTGTCAGGGACTGTGATGAAGGCCACAAGCCGGAAGACGATGCTCTCGCTATAAAGTTGTTCATTATGTTTTGACCTTTTCAGACTTTTTTTTCCCTTCTGCGTGCACCTTGGAAGTACTGAAGGTGAAGCTGTGCCAGAAAAACTTAAACATAGCATGTATCACTGAGTCAAACGTGTAATAATTATGTTTTCATTAAAACATGTGCCTTAACTTTTTGGGATCAAACCTTCAAAAGATATTAGACAAGTCTTAGAACATTTGTATCAGTCCGCAGCGTTTCACATCATTATGATTACACTGCTGATGTTCGTCTGGCCATTAGCATTAAACCATTAAGAGGCGAGCGTGTGCTGAATATAAATGAGATAACTACACCTCAGGGACCAGTCGCACGTGTCCGTCTGCAGCTTAATGAACTCAGCAGAATCTTACGAGAAAATTTGCTGTCGCTCCTCCAGTGTCTGCCTTTTGTTTCCCCCACCTTTGTATTTTGATATGTACATTTTTCAAGCTTTATTTAATCAGTTGTAGTTTTGCTGAGCACAAATGACACTTCTCCCTGCTCCACACTCTCACAGTTACACACACCCACGCCTATAAGATGCCCCACTACAACCAGAGTCCAATCTGTGTTGGATACAACAGATCCGACTCCTCCTGTCTCATGCTGCTCAAATCTGTGTCGATTTCTCTCCCTTTAATTCCCTCTCTACCCCGCCTCCTGTCTGTTTCGTTTGTGCTCCTTCTTCTTCTGTCTCTCCCTCTCTCCTCCTGGCGGCGTTTATCTCTCCCAGGACTCTCCTCCTCTCGACAGTCGTTGCTGTTACTGTTACACCTGCACCACCCACCGTCCCTCCTTCCTACCGCTGCACTCTGCCAGCCCTGCTGCCCAGGTGCTGCCTTCTCATCCTGTCACATCTCCATCCTCTCACACTTGGATTCCTATTTGTTTCCCCTCTCACTGCCCTGAAAACCCAATAATCCTCTGTGTGTGTCTTTTAACCCACTTTTTCCTGTGTGAATTTATTTTGCCGGTAATGTATGTTTTTACTGCTGTGTGAAAATATATACACAAGCTGCACTGTGTGTACTGATAAATGCTTTGGATGTTACTTTGACTTGGGGGCCCTCTAATGACAGTTTGGTGGTAAGACAATAATGCACAGAGTGGCTGGTTTTTGGTAGTGGAACCAAAGAGAGTAATACAACGTCATAAAAATATCATTACAGTTCATTTCAGTACACGTAAAGGCACATGTATAAAATCTATTCTAAAAGGTTTAAAGTAAGTCCTTTAAAATACACTTTTTAGAGTTAATCAAGCTTGAAAGTTTGTTCTTCACCTTGAAAACATCAGTTGACAAATGGTACTTGATACTAAATGAACCTTGTGGTCAGATTGCTTCGACAAGGACAAAATTTGAACATCTACAATTCTTTAAGAACTGAGCTGCTATCTGCTGATGAGCACGTAATAGCATGTGATAATGGCTGAAAGCTCCAGAACAAGTTATTAAATGGAACTTGGGTTGTGGATGTGGCTGTGATGACTTCAAAGGACAAAGAATCCAATTTCAAACTAACTTTTGTGTGAAAATATTTCAAATGACAAAATACATTTAATTAACAAATTAAACCTAACTTATAATAATAAACATGATTTGAAATGAAGTGTGCTACCTTACAAACAAAGAAAACATACCACAGTGTAGTTGCAGCTGTAAGTGTTTATTAATGTACAGTATGTGTCAACAATTATAACTTCTCCTGTGAAGACATATTTTATATTATTAAAAGTGTGTTTTATTATTTAAAAAAAAACACTCACATCTGCTTATAACTACATTATACTGTGTTTTTGACAATTTCCTAAATGTTTATAGATTACTGATAAATGCTGTTTGTACTTACAGGGAGACATTGTGGACCAGGAGGGGGATGCTCAGTCCCAGAGCAGTGCCACGTGGCTCATGGACCCCAAGGAATCCAAGCGCACCATCAGCACTAAGTATGAGACCACCATATTCTGAGCGGACCCCCCCTCTTCCTCCTGACCTCTCAACCTGGGCCTGGTCTCACCTCCTTCCTTCCCCTCCCTCTGTGTGCCTTTCACTGTGATTCTGCCTCTCTCTCTCTGGGCTGGACCCCCGCCCTCCCCTGTCTCCCTTCAGCCGTCACTTGTGTCCTGCTTTTAGAACAACACCACAACAACACGCCGCTAGTGCAACCCTTCCACTTTATCGCCTCCTCTTCCTCTTGCTGGTATCGCTCACACAACCAGCCCCACCACTCACCTTCACTGTTACACTCCGTTCTGTTTACCTTGTTTGCTTCCTGAACTCTGTGCCCAGTGCTTCCCTTTTTCTTTCCCCCAGTCAACATCCTAGTATTTACTGTTGGTGATAAGCTCTTTTTTTTTTTTTTTTTTTTTTCCTGGTGCTTTTCCCGCTCTATTAGGCGATGGCCGCTCTGAGGCTTTTCACTCTGATCTTTCAACTCCTGACTCCTCCGAGTGCTGAGAAAATCTGATTTACCACAGCCAAGAGTGACCCACTGCACACGTCCTTGTCCCTGGATGGACATGTTTCCTGAGGAAACTGAGAAACTGGTTCTGTAATTCTATGCATCAGTTGGACTTTAGCAGACTGTTTCTGTTCAGCGGGATGCAGGTTGTGGTGTTACAGAGGTTACACAGGATTAACTAAGGGGGGGGGGGGACTTTTCACTTGTCAGTGTCTGCTCGAAGCCAAAGGAGGCTAAGATCCTAGCACTGTGATGAGGTCCTTTTGGAGCTAATGAAGTAAGCATTTTGGGGGATTTTGTAGTGGGGAAAATGGGAATCAAAATAGGGCACGGAGGCTGACATGGACCTGCATGTTAGTGGTCCTCGTTGCTCCAGAAAATAGACAGTCTGAACTGTCATAAGACTGGCATGCCCTCCTTTGTCTGTCAATCAGAGCACCAGGATTTAAACCTGATGCTTCTTCTGGAGTGAACTTACTATAACTAAGCACTTTTACCAAATCCCTGAGTGTGTAAGAATAAGTGCATCTTCCTCTGTCTTGTCTTTTTTTTCTTCGTCTTTTCACGACAAATGCCTTCTCTGTTCATCCTGTCAGCATGGCCTTTTGTTTTGCCAATCACACCATGTTAATATTTCACTGCTGCCGGAGAAAAGAGTTAATCATTGTAAAGGGGGGTGGTAATCCGTCACCATCGTGCTGTTTGTGTCCATTCGTTCAAAGTTATTTTTACTTTATTTTAACTTCCCTGCTTTGTGTGCGTGTGTCTGTGTCCCTTCCCTATAGCTGAACACTGTGGCCACTCCCAGCCAGTAAGAAACGACAGGAATGAGCCCTGTTGCATGGTGGGTAGGATGTTTTCTTTTTTTTTTTTTTTATTGGAAAGGTGACCCACTTCCCATGCAGCAGATCGCATCACCAGTTGGATCGTTCTCGCAGCTCGCCACAGTAAGACACGGGCCCGGAGACAAACAGACGTAAAGCTTTCATCACTGCACGCTCCATCGGTTCATCTGACCTCACCGACTTCATCAGACACACAAACACACACACACACACACACACACAAAAACCTCTGTTTAGCTTCCTGTCCATCAGAAAATGATGCTTGTCCCAGCCAGATGTTTTTGTTATGCTCTGTGCATTTCCTGAGGAATGAATCGTTGGCTCTTCTCGGCTGTCAGTCTTACAGGCCTCCCTCACAGGGAGCTCGTGTTTACTCTTTCAGGAGATGTACCAGCAGGTTTCAATGCAGAACTTGTAATTAAAGTGGAAGTGGCTGAGATGAGGAACGTAATAATTTTTTTTTTTATGATACAAAGGTACAAACTGTCAGTAAGAGACCTCACACTGTAGGTACACACTCCTTCCTGGATTATTTGTCCTGTATCCATCATTGTAGCGTCTCTTGATGACCGTCAGCCTCTCATCCACAGTACACATGCATAGCTGTGATAAATGATGTCATCTTGCACAGGAGGAACTCTCTAACCAAACTCAAAGGGCAGAGGAACTGACACTACAAAGACTGTTTTATAGTGGTGTTAACAGGGGGTGGCTTTTATTTGATTTGAAAGTTTTCTCTCTCTTTTTTTGTTTTTTTGGTATGTTTTAAATGTTTTTTAGGGCAATGACGTGTCCTAAAGCAGGAACTGGATCAGGTGTGGTTCACTGCAGCTCTGTCTCCTTCCCTGCCTCTTTGTTCAGTTAATCTAGACAAGATTATTCACCAAACCTGCCATGCAGGCTGGTACGTCTTTAGATTTTAGCTGCAGAGCAGAACAATAGGGCGCAGCATGTCTCTCCTAGCTAACTCCCAGTATGTTGACTGTTAATGGTACTTTTTGGTCAGCTGATGTGTATATGGGTACGTAGTTAGGTCGTTTTGATTTAACTGTTGTTTATGTGGTACGTTGTCAGGCCAGTACGATAACTCTATGGTACACTGTCTTCAGCTCGCTGGTGTCGGCACCTTCAGCCATCAGCCTGGTCCCGGTCTGCTTTTGCACATTGCTGAGGATCATGAGAGATATTCTGGGACTAATCTGATGACAACAATGATGAGAATGATATTGTACATGAATTTAGCGGTCTGTATTTTGATACTTGAATGATTTTTGCTTTTATAGATATCTATATATATATATATATATATATATATATGTATATGTATGTATGTACGTATAATTTTTGACGTTTGTCAAAAGAGAGAAAAGGACTATGTCTTACAAAAGTTAAACATATCGTGAATAAATACCCTGTGATTTAAAAAAAAATAAAATAAAATAAAAAAAATAAAGGCTGAGAAAACAATGACTCAGAAGAGGGACCTCACTTCAGAAAAAAAGATTGTAAATAATCTTGGGCTTCCAGTCTTTTTTATGATTATTTTTCATAATTGTACAACTAATAAATGGCGCAATTAGAAATGCTGTCCCTGTTGCCTCTTTATTTGTCTGTTCACTCATCTTGTTTCATGTCACCATTGAACTTTTGGCTTTTCATCCCATCTCCACCAGAATTGCCTGTCACATATTGACAACCTGTGGTTCTCCTGCAGGTATCACAGCTGAAGCGACACTGTGTTTTGATGCCTTCAGAGCTGCTCCATTTGTCAGAGGGCAGTCAAGGTCAGTGGTTGTGCCAGGATGAAATGTTTGGTCTCCGCCCTTCACGTCTATTTCATAAACATTTCCCCCGCTGAAGGATGGACAGCTCCCTCTCAGAGCCAGTGCAGGTGTAATGTAGTACAGGAGATAAGAGCGCAGAGGCGCAGGCACACAAGCTGACAGTGAAATATCATCATAGCGTCCCTTGTCAGTCCGAACGACAAGCCACTGCAGTAGGCGCAGGCTGCATGACAGCAGCATTTTAACACAGCAAACCCGTTTCTACATTATATATCTTTTGCATTAAAAGATACATTCCAGCACAGCATGATGAACACTATCTTACAGTTCAGGGTTTCATCTTGCCCTCTCAAACCCAGTCACCTAAATGTATCGCTGCGACAAGACTTTTTAATACCGTTGTGACATTACAAACTGAAGTTTTAGACAAAACTTTGTATTGAAACAAACTGTTTTTTTGTGCTTGTTAATTGTATCAGCTGAGATTAATTAAAATATTAAGCATTTTTCAAATCGCCTCGGCTCCAGATTGTGCACTGACATTAATTTTCATCTTTGTCAGAAAGGAAATGAGTCAACAGAGGAAAATGACCTCAACTATAATTTAAATGGCAACGTCTATGAAATATCAGTCAGTGATAACAACTCATCTATTCGCAAAACAATTCTGAAGTTTGTGAATGTATAGATAGATGGTAAAAGCCAATTTATTTTGTATCAACAATCACATATTTGCCTGCTGTTGTCTAGAGAGCATTAATTCTCAGCACGTAGTTATTCTTCATCTGATTTCTCTTATTTGTTTAGTCTTTTGATAGTAATACAGTCCCATGGGTAATAGCCATCAAATTTATTTTACAGTTTTACACTGCTGTTTTTCTCAAAAATCGAAAATAGCTCATTGCTTGAGGTTGTGAATTACAAATGACACTGCTCAAGTAAGATATTTGTATTAGCTTGACTGCTGCGATGAAATTACATGTGAATCCTGCAAAACTATGGCTGCATCACACCTTTGATACAATGACGTGACTGCTGCTGGAGTGGAAATATGTACTTTTTGAAATGTGATGTCACTGGCCAACATGAAAAAAAAAAACATTTTAACAGAACGACAGATCAGATGATTGTTTCTGTGTAAGATGTAAATAGGAATCTACACATCTGCTCATTTTCATAGATATGCAACAGACGTCACAGATGTATGCTGCTGTTCCTGGAAAACAAATCGCCATGTTGCATACAGATTGTGAGATTGATATCTGCAGACAAACCTGCTTTGTTCATAAACTAAACCATGCACTACAGGTTCACAGCATCCAGCCTGTAGACCATGGAAATAATTAGTAAAACAAGCCATGTCGCATTTCTTTTTAGACTACACAAGAATAAGCAGAACACAGTTTTGTGGTACCACACTCTAATCACAATCTGTAATGATTTATAGATTGTAATCTAGATATAAACAATTAGCAAGATTAAATTTTTGTGAAAAATCTCTTTGGCTGGTGCTTATCTCCTATTTGGTAGTAATGTAGATAAAACTATAATCCATTAATAAACATTCATGCGTTTTTTAGTTTCTAATAAGCGTGTGCAGCTTAGCCAGGACGTTCTGCACATGAAAAGTAAGAAGGTAAACTCTGTGCAAAGACAGCAGCATGCTAACCAGTGCTCTTGTTCTGCTCGCAAAGTCACTGAAGCCTTTACACCACAGAGAAACAGAAGTGCTTGGATGGCGCTAATTTCACTAAGTCCCGACTGACGGGTTTGCCCCTAATGCTGCTGAAGGGCAGCCAGCGCATGGGAGTAAGGATATGAACAGTTGGCATAGGAGAGAGCAACGCGGCGAGCAGTATCCAGCTTCAGGTGGTCAAGCAAGATGTAACATTTGAACTGCTCAGGTTTCTCTGGAGATATGAGGTTATGAAGGGCCATTTTGAACATTTCAAACTCCTGTGGATCATCATGAATGAAATTAGGGAATGAGGGGCCTTCATGGTGTGACTTGAAAGCATTCTGGTAAACAGGCAACGTGGCAGGTGACACCAGTGGTTGCTGTTGCAGATAAGGATGGTAGGGAACAGCGGCTTGTGAAGGATGGGAGGGGCCATCAGCCACAGCTGGAGGGCCACCAGCCACAGCTGGTATGTGCTGAGAAAGGAGACCTGCACTTTCTTTCACTAACTGGAAGAAAAGGATGGACCCCGGCGAGAGTTTGAGTGTGTTGAGAAAGAGGAACGGCACCAGTGGTTTCGGAGTGAGGAACGGAATGGTCACCTGCAGTAGCTGGTATAGTTTGTACTGGAGGATATGTCGCCCTCAGGAAAGGAAACTGCAGGTTGGAGTGCTTCACCACAGGCACAGGAGGCTGTGTTGCCAGCTGAGGCACAGCAGGGGGGGCGGCAAAGGAGGTTAAGGAGGTAGCAGGAGAGGGAAGGCTCAGCAATGCTGAGATTGAGATGTATGACACTGCAGGATGTACAAGGTTATGTGGAGGGGCCACACCTGAGGCAGCATGATACCCTAGCTGGTGAAAGGAAAGGTTCAAACTCTGTGCACCTGGGGGGTCCAAGGGATGAGTGTCAGCCTGAGGTTTGGGAAACTGGGAGTTGGATCCGCAACATTGATGGGTATTTGGAGTAGCGGCTGAGGTTCTGTTGAAGGGAGGGATGCACGACTTGAAGCAGAAGGAGGCTGGGGGCCACACTGGGGATGTGTGACCTTGGACTCATGTTGCTTCAAGTAGTGGCAAAGGTCCTCCACTGGAGACTAGAAAACTTAGGAAGAGTTGTCATACCCATGAGGAGGATGGTTAGGGTGAGCTGGAGAGGCATGGGCAGAGACCATAGCTGAAGTGATAGAATTGTTGGGAGAGGCCGTGCTGTCTAGCTGTCGATTGGCCAGAGTTTGCATTGAAGCTCCAAGCTGAATCATCATTTGAGTAACTTCACCAATATAATTTTGCATATCCACAAACTCTTTATGAAGATGCTGGGATGCTGTCAGTTGGATATCCACTTGGTGTATAAATGGAGCTGCCACAGATGCTCCTTGGCTCTGTGAAGCTGCATGTGGGATGTCCTATAACTACAGCCAATGTGCTGTGTTTGATAGTCAACTAAATTGGAGGGAGACTGAGCTTGTCCAATGGATCTCCAAGGTGCTCCATCCATAGCATTCACCATCTCTGCCTTAAAGGACTGCGTAGAAGATATTTGACATTAAGGAATGTATGAAGGCATGCTGATTTCCAGGTAATGTGCTAAACACTGTGGTTGTGCGGTCTGGCTCTGTCCTCAAGGCAGATTGGGGGCTACAGCGAATTACTGTCAGAACAGAACTTCTGAAGAAGCAAATAACAAACCTTTAAAGTAAGTAAATTATTTATTAATCCCTATAAAAACATTAGTCACTATTTATAATCCCTTTATAAATTGTACCTAATAAAGTGGCACTAATTTTGAATATAGACATGGATGTTGACCTTGAGTGACCTTGTCCACTCACTGTTTTGTTATAGTTTGGAATTAAAGTCTTTGAAGGCATTTTTGTGTTTTATTGAAATATGTCGACAAATATTGGATTGATTGTCCTGAGATATGATTCCGCTCAGGTCGAACTGTAATAACTGTGGTGATCCTCTGACTTTTCATCCAGCATCTTCATCAAGTCCAAATTTCATTTTGTTCAGTACTTTGGTTTATTACCGAATACCTGCATTACTAACATTCCCATCAGGCTCACAGAGGGACTAGCATGGCTGCAGACTCATAAGTGAATAAGTCAAGTTTCAAAATCCAAACAAATGTAAAAGCCTCACTATTCCAAATCTTTACACACATTATATGGAGCCTATATATTTATTCAATATGATATTTTTCCTATATTTGCAAATAAAATAATAAAAAATATATAAATAGATTTCTTTTGGAATACCATAAACTGTTAAACTGCAGGCAACATACACTCTATACAGTCTGAGGGTTACTCCCATTTGGCTGCTGTTATTCCACTGGCTCCTTCTTAAAAACGTCACAGTCAGGTGTTCACTGATTGGCCACCCATCAACCTGCCCTGAAGCTAATTGGTTCACCTGGCTGAGGTTATTTCCACCTGTGGTGACAGTCACTTCTCGTCGTGTAGTTTTACTTCCAAGAACAGTACAGCCACAGGAGAGGAGAGAGGTGCACCGCCACTATGGACTGAGACCTGAAAACAACTCTTATTTTTTTATTTTTTTTTAGCAGCTGTTACATTTAACCGAGACGTCATTTCCCCAACAGCCCCGGTGAGTTATCAGGAAATCTTTCTCTTGGAAGCGAGTGCTTGCTTTTCTCAGTTTATCTCGTGTATACAAAGGTTTTACAAGTTATGAGGGAAAACGTTGTTTAGTTCCTTAAAAACCACAAATCAGTGCTTTTCTGAAAATGTAATCCTCCCTTGTTTAGACTGGTGTGTATGTGTGCGTGCGTGCGTGCGTGCGTGCGTGTGTGTGTGTGAGCCAGCAAACCTTACAGGTCTCCAGGTTTTTTTTTTTTTTTTCCCCTGTAGCTGATGAGGTTGTGTGTGACTGACCCTATTTGCACAGACAGTGTCAGTTATCATCAGTCTGGGTTGAGAGGACTTGAAAAGAAATGGAGGGCCAGGTGAAATACTCCACAAGACACTCCTGCCATTGTAGGAAATATTCCTACATATGACCAGCATTATTAATCACTTTTCATGTTGTGTTGAAGCCTATTATTCCTTTCAGGGATGACACATTGATCACAAGTGTTTAATAACCTGAATATTTGGTGATGTAGAGAGTAGACAATGAGTCATGAATAGGCACAAATATTTGCACATAAATGTCAATAATAGTCATTTTAGTGGGACATGCTGCCAAGCTAAACATTAATGAAATATTTCTGTTCACTGCAGCAGGTTGAGAGTTGCACAACCGGGTGTTCACCATGAACTTTTGTTTACTGTTAATCATTAAATGAGTTCTCTGACTGGCTGCCCTTGAACACATACCTCACATTTTTTGGACCCCCTCTTTACGAACACACTGTAATTTGTCATCATGGGCTGTAAATGACGATCCCTGGGTTTGCAATAAAGCTGGCTCACAAACCGTGCAGCTGTTCTCACAGTAAACACATCAAAGACCTGGAGGGGACCCTCCCCTTTATAGTTAAAACGTTTTATCGTCTGAGTTATAATTCAAGTGGAACGCCCAGTCACATCAGGGCGCTTGGCTGATTTTGAGGGTTGTCTGAAAAGACAGGGAAGCAAGCAAAGTGACATTCCTGTCACTATTAAATCCTGAGTCAGCTGTGGGTGTAGTGAGCTTTCCCACTGCTGCCCTTCAGGTTTGTTGTCATGTTCAGGTTTGAGAGGTGTTGGCTGCTGAAGTTTGGACATTTGTCTGTCGCTCTGCTTATCTGAGCAGCCTAATGGGAGTTAGCAATAATTAGCACCTATTAAAGCTTTCTATGGGAGGCCCGTGGGCGCTTTGTCAAACAGCTTTTGTTGCCAGAAAACATGTGTGAATGTGGGTGTTGGAGATCAGGTTTTCCCCAACTGTCCTTGCTATGTCTTCATGTCAACAGGCCAGAATGTCAGTGCGCTAGATTAACCAGCCTAGGGGTCGGACCCCGACATATGTCTGAGGAGTCGCAAAAATCTCCTTCTCTCTGAGTAATTTTTGCTTGTCTCTTTTGTCTTTAAACTCTTATAAATAAAATATAAAATCTGGTTTTATTTTACTTCATTCTTGAGCAGCAGCTTCAACTTCAACCTGTCATCTTCTTTCTTGTTTCAACACACAGGCACTTGTTTCTAGGAAATTCAAGTTGAAATTCTCACAGACGAACATGACTTGATAGAAGTGAGAATCAAAGGGAGAGGAAAAAAAACACTTTTTGAATTTTTTTCAAATTAAGCGTTTTCTTCTTGTCAAATACTGGACCTCTTCAGGACTCTAAAAATCTTTCTAATGAAACAGTCTGAAAATAAGAACTGTTCATAACTAACATATCTCTAAGGGGTTCCAAGCCCAAACGTTGCATAACCACTGCTCTAGAATAGATCAACATCACAAAGGAAAGTCTGATTTTGGAAAAGTTTTACGACAATATGTTGGGGAATGTCCTCTTAATGCAAAGTATGTGTTTGATAAAACCAAGGCCTTTGGCAGGTTTCTAGAAATACTGAGGTTCCAACCCCATGATTCACAAAATGTTGATCAGACATATTGAATTTAAAGCTTTGAAGTGCATGAATTATTTGAATGTTTTCATACTTTATTCATTCAGTGAACTTATTCCCAAAAGCCTTTTTCAAAGTATTCTCTCAATAGAATTAATTATGTATTTATTCATTTTTTGCATGAAAGCAGTTATATTTAGTCTAAAAATATTTGAATGTGTCTCTTATATGTCCACCATGTGCTATTGTTTTTAAGTTGTGGAGTGTAAATTCCTACAGGTCAGTAAAACCCTCAGTGTAACCGCTACAGCTCAGAACAAAACTCATGTTTTGTTTTGTCCTCTTTGTCTTGCATTTTTAGAATTTGACTGATTGATCTCTCACCCTCTTTAAGCTGCCATCATTAAATGTTCATGCAGTTCATTGCAAAAAACATCAGTGGCTGCTCCCATTTTTATAGAAACACTTATCGTTTCACACATAAATGAAATTCAAACTGCGTCGTACTGGCAGAGGGAGACTCTGTCTGTGGGGACTGAGTGTCTGTGCGTCCTCAGTCAACCTCACTCTCCGGTAATTATTATGATAACTCACACCTTCATGCTGTATTAGGGCCTGGAAAAACTTTTTGTCATTTTGGTGGCTAATTCACAGACAAACAGTGACACTGACTCATAGAGGGAAAGTTTAATTCCGTTGCTTTTATATGTTTCATCAAATGTTCTCTGAGATAAGAGAACAATAAAGTTAGCTTTGCTCTGTGTCCACGAACACACCTGAACCTGATTGTGCAGCCGCGTCTACGTGATGAATAGATGTGTAACAGGCTGTAATGCTTTTCGTATTTGAATACAGTGTATTGCATTTGTGTGACCTAGTTAAGCAAAATCCATGACAGAATTTGAGTTGATCAAGTATTATCCCTTCATGTCTCAACTGCTGTTTGTTGGTGGTATTTGCTTCTGGCACATACTAATACACTGTAAGTACCTAGAAGGGGAAAGTAAGGACGTAAGAACTTTGCTTTAGTGGCATTTTCTAAAAGGTCTTGTGAATTAATTTCCTGCCCTATTTGTTTCTAAATGATCCGTCTTTTAGTGAGGATTTTGAAAATCCCCATCCTTGTATCCTTTTAGCAGATGACAAGCCAGTAATAATCCCTTGAGTTTTTTTTTGGCTTGCGTGCTTTCCTCAGGCCTGACACAGGATAATAGGTAGGAAACACAAGTAAGCAGTGTAGTGCTGCAACAAAACACAGCATATCAGCTGTCTGTGACTATGTCATGCAAATTCACAAACAAAGATGAGCATTTTTCTCTTTTTTACTGAATCATAGTGACTGCAATGGCATCTAACAAACAATGCTTAAAGCATCATTATGGAACTTCTGATCATATGTACAGCAATACCTTAATGCCATGATGCAACATATTCTCTTCCTGTGTAATAATTCAAAAAGCAGCTGTTGTTGTAGTAAGGCATTAAACTAATATCAATAATCTGTCCAACCAACAGTCAGTACCCTTCAAATCCTCAGTCTGCTATCATAGAAGAGAAAGAAAAGCAAAAGTTTGAGTCTGTTTTCAAGCAAAAACATCAAACGATTAATGGATTATCAAAGTAGTTGTTTAATTTATCGTTTCAGCTCATATGCTACATATTCTAATATATTAGTTTTCTAGAAACAGATGAAGGTAAAATATTAAATATTCAACCCATAGCCATCCATTCTGGTTATGAACTGATGTGCCACACCTGACAAAGGTATCAATATGTATGACAGAGGTCTGTAATTGTATTCGCAAACATCCATCTTCATGCTGATCTATTAATTTGAATCCAGGCCACGTTTTAATGTGTAAATAAAATGTTCACTAATTCATCCATTCATTTATTTAATGACGCAATTAGCATAACTGGTTATATTAAATAGATCACAGTGACTGGCATTTGGCATCTCAAACGCCCCTTGTTACGTTAATAGCAGAGTTATTACATTATGAGGGTCATTTAGCTCTGAGCTTTAATTTATGGCATGAATTTGTCACACTAATGGAAAGATTTGACGCTAATATTTGTTGCTGTTTTGTTGTTACTAACTCATTTTGTGATCTATTTTAGCCTCAAACTATAGCTTCATCTCCTTTTTAGCTGATGTAGGAAGTCACTGTTTGCATCATGGTTTGATAAATTGTGCAACGTGAAATAAACATTTTGCAGTAGCTGTGCCACATGTGAAAATTTCGTCTGATTCCAGTTTGGTCTTTTCATCCTGTTGTTTCGTTTTCTCCTTGACCTTTCAGAGTCTTCCTCACGTTGACTCTTGGTGAGATTTACACAATTAAAACAGGACCGCGAGGCCCAAGTCCTGCTCTCATCCTCTTCCTTGTGCAATGCCGAAGAGTGACACGTGGCCAGGCGGCGTTGCCATGGAATCCTTGAGCAATATGGACAGTGCTGGGAGCTGCGACAGTGTAATCAGCATGAACTCTGGCTGTGTGAGTGCTGCTGTAGATCTCCTCATTTCAGTCATCTGTCCCACTGACTGTTTATTGTACAACACACTGACACACTTCACCGTCACACTACTTTCCTCTGGCCTTTCTGAATAAACATGACTTTTGGCAGCGCTTCTGTCCTCGGTTGTAACAGGGGAAACAAAGAACTGAGATTTGCGCATCAGGTTGTAATGACGTTTGGCTGGGCATTTACAGTCAATATGAGACGGTTAAATGGGAGACAATGAGAGGAAGTGAATCTGTTTGAGGTGAAACGCTCTCATGTTTGTTCAGAGGGAGGCCTCTAAGGAGTTCCAGTGAGAGTTGTTATTTTAAAGATGACCAGAGGGGACAAGATCTTAATCTGTTCACAGGCACCTGTAGTTACCTGAAATAAATTCTTCTGACAGGCGAATCTAGAATGAAAGAGTCAGGACCAGGACAGGAGTGGTGTACTTAGTCATTGCTTTGCAGCTGTTTGAACACTAAACAGCTTTGACCTATTGCCCCTTTTGTGTCTCTCATGTGTTTAGGGTTAGATGTAGGACAGACGAGTCGAGATATTCTGTCAAAATGCATCATTATATCTGTAATATATTTCAGAGTGTCTTATTTTTTTTGCGCAGAGTGAAGATAGTATGGAGCATTTATCTGCAGAGGAGAGGGCGTGTCTCATGTATCTGGAGGAAACCATTGAGGCGCTGGAGGTGCAAGAGGACAGCGGCTTATCCAATGATGAAGAAACTGGGTTACAGGCAGAAGAAATAGGTTGGCCGAAAGAAGACGGTATGCTCATTTGATATTCTGCCCTGCATGTTCTCTTAGTTGATTGTCTCATACCTGCATCATAACTTTAATTATTGTGCTTTCCTTCCTTAGACATTTCCATTTTCAAGTCTGATGAGTTTGGAAGAGCTGACCATCATGCTGTGAATCAAACCTCTGAACCACAGTCCTTTCCTGTTTCAGCAGCTAACACAAAAGGTCTCATCTCAACACCACTGAGCTTGACTCAACCCAAACCTCCTGACACTGAATCAGTCCCTCCATCAGCTACTCGGACTCGGGTGCTGTGTATATCCACGGATGGAGATGCCAAACCAAAGATTGTCACGAGTACCGAGCTTTGCTCAGGTCAGTCCACTAAGGCCTCTGAAATAAATCTGGGTTTGATCCCTCCTCCCTCAGACTTCATGGATGTACCATACCCTCATGCACAACCAAAGAAAGTCCAAGACCATCTTCCACCTGCAGGGATATCCTGTAACAAGCCAGGAGCAACTATTGACTTGGAGAAGCTACGTCAGAGAGCCTCTGCGAAGAGAACCCAGGGCACTCCAAACATGGCCCCACCTGAAGTGTCCCCCACCCAGAGTCCACCAGCCATCACCTCTGGCCACCAGTTGAGTCCTCCCACCGAGGCTGCTGAGCCCAGAGGGCCACCTGCTGTGGCCCCTAAGCCCAAGAAGCTTCCTCCCAACATTATACTGAAGTCACACAAGGCAGCAGTGGCTGGCTCTGATGGCAGCTCGGGACATTCGGTCCCCGCTAGCAGTGACCGGGTGTTGATGGACCCTCAGAGGGTCCGCTTTGAGGCTCTCCGAAAGCTTGGCCTGCTAAAAGGCGATGAGGCAGATTCAGGTCCTGCCCTGAGCCCAAAACTTTCTCCCAAAACTCAAAGATCATGGGGAGCTCCTCCTTCTCCACTCAGCCCAGCAGCTCCACATACACCCCCCTTGACACCATCTAACACATCTGTCAACAGCCCACCTCGTGCCTCTGTCTCTCTACAGTCTCCTGCTGTGTCACCATCAGCTAATTCTACAGCTCCTGATATTCTCCCAGCACCTGCTGCCTTCAGTGACCCCCTCGCACCTCTGCCGTCAGATAATGAACTGTCTGCTGTCAAAGATGTTTCAGAGGCTGAAGTTAATGCACAGGTGACTACGCCTCCTTTCACCCCTCCTACCCTGACCAAGCAGTTAATGCCATTCAAGATCATAGGTGTTAAATCAGCCACCCTGGAGCGCTCTGGTCTGGGTCTAAGCAGCTATATGGCAAGTCAAGACTCCAGTGAGGCCGGTAAGGGTGTCAGCGGCGAGCTGAGTCCCAGCCATCTGCGTAACAATCGGCCACGCCCCGCCTCTCTGGGGAGCAGGAAGGAGTTTTCAAGTGCTCAGGGAGAGGGTTTGCAGCCAGGACGTGCCAAGAGTCAAGAGCCGAACTCAAGGAGGTCAATGCCTGCCCACACCGCCTTCCAGCACTCTGGAGACTCTCAGAAGCTGCCTCGATCGCAAGGCATCAGTGTGCTGATCTGCCCTCGTGCAGAAAATGAGGAGGACCGCCGTGAGGCCTTGAAGAAGCTGGGGCTGCTGAGGGACTAATGCATCGCCACTACATCTTACACCTCATCTAACTGCCACAGAATCCCTTCAGACACTTTATTTCATACACAATTGATGAAGGCATTACAAACCTTTCGGGAAGCAGCTTAACCACATATTTATGCATGTTTCATTTTACTGATTTAAGCTATTATAACCAGAGACTGCCTCATATGACTTGGATACTGTCATGCCCACACTTTCATCTACTTGTTACTGATATTGTACAGTCATATGTACAGTGTTTTGTTTCTCATTCGACTGGCAATCAAGGACTTTTTGGATATTCCTGACTCTCTCACTGTTCCTCTGGTTTTTGTAAATTAAATACTGTTACTTGTACGAGGCAACAATGAGTTATTTTGTCACTATATGTCTCATGATCTACAGGTATGAACCTTCTACATCACTGTCCACTTTCATAGGTTATTCTGCATTACAGTGACACCATTGTGAGGCTGGTTCCCCTCTTACTTCTCCTTTTATATACTTTGAAAGGTCATTGTTAATACTTTCACTTCCTAAAATCCTGGGGGAACTTTTAGTCCAGCTTTGTTTATCACAAGTTTTTGTTTTTGTTTTCTTAAGCACTGAACCTATTTGTGCAGTGCAGTTTGGCTCATAATTGAAGGCTGTTGGTTTAATGCATAAAAATGTAGACAGTGTGTTGTGTATTGCTAGAACATACCATACTGACACTCAAAGCAAGTAGTCGGTGGCCACTTGGTGATAAGAATCTGAAATCCGTTGACTGCATGGCTGCACAGTGATACACAAGCTTGTTACATAGCAGCAACATATAGTGTCACTATGGGTCTGTCAGTTGCACACGAGCTGATCAAACAAGTTTTATTCCAAGAATTGTTTTAATTTCCGGAAACATACACTCTCCCCATGCTGCCCACAAGTACTTTATGTGCATTTGGAATATGTCATTTGTTTTCCTCTGGTGGCTTATGACACATTGACCCTCTTGTATTATGTCAAATCGCATATTGAGGCACCAGTTTTCTGGCTCTGCTTCAGCTTCACCCCTTATCTGATGTGATGGTGCGAGAACTGGTGAAACCGGTTTTTCTCACCTGCTGGTTAAACCTTTATGGAACACCTTTGTTGCTCCTGATGGCACATTTATGAGCCGACGGGCTGTCTGAAAAAAATTTTAACACTGCTGCAGGCATTTAAGACAAATAGATTTGCTCTTTCCTGTAATCTGCTGTTAAGGTCACCTACTGCAGTGAAAATTAAGCTCAATTTGAAATATATTTCTCTGAGGTATTTACACCAGATTGCAGTACTCTAGAACTTGTAGACAATACAGCACAAGTTTTTCTATCAACTCACTTTTCAGACCTCAGACCATAACTTGGAAGACCGCCACATCCAAAAGTAACAAACATTTTGCCTGTGGAGCAGCATTGTAACCATTACTCTTTTATTGTGCAATTAAATCTACTCACAGTGTAGGTGTGTTGTCTCTAAATGACTGCATCAGTGCCAAGCGCCACGTCATGTGTCAGCGTTGTGATTCTTTGAGCCCTGCCCTGCACACCTTTTTTAATTTAGTCTTTTTGTTGTGTTGATCACACCCAAGGTTTCTTCTCAGGATGCATTTTCATCCATTATCTAATTTGCATCTAATTTTATCTATAAAGAGAGTATTTCCATATGCTTTTGTGGATATTTGTACACGTATTTTTCCCATGAAGGTAAACCCCTGAGTGTTATTTGTCAGAGGAAAGAAGAAGAGCCAAGTGGAAAAAGAATTTGAATGCTGTTTTGAATACTTTAGTTAAAAGATAAAGCTCGTGTGCATAAGTTGTAATAATGATTAATAAAATTCTATTCATTATACTCTCAACACACCAAAAGCTATTATCAGAATAAGAATCACTGGTGTGTTGCATTATTATTAGTTTATCTTATAGCGAATACGCTCTATTACAGTAAAGCCAGGAAAAGAGGAAGCAGCTACCTGGTGTCAAACTAACATAGGCTGCTTTGTGCTGTTCTCTGGCATGTTGGTATGTGAGCTATCTTTCTTTTCCACCTGCTCTGTCTGTTGTCCTGCTTCGAGCAGACCTGACTGACAAGGACTCACAGACAGCTCCTGTCACTTTCACTGTTAACCCTAGTAGGCATCATAGATGAGCTGCTACGAATAACATACCATATCAGCCTGCATACTTTCACTGATTCCCTGCAGTCTTGGTGTGAAGAAGTTACGGAGAAAAGATGGAATCTAAGATTAAGTAAACCTTAAAATAATCATTATGCAGCTGTGATATAAGAGTAAAGGGGCTACAGCTTTATGACAAATTAGGTTTATTAAGTAGAATAGAATTGGGCTTGTTCATAGTTTAAAAAATGTAGACAGTCTTACAGCATGCAAGAAATATATTGTGACCCTGTTAATCACTCTACAGCAGATATTCAAACTGTGAGGTGCGTGTCCCCAGGGGGGCGCAGGAGAGTTGAAGGGAGAGGCAAAGATGGCTATTAAGGTGAGGTGAAGGGGACAGGACAAGGGGAAGTTCGTTATTGTGATTTGGCCCGTTGATTAGGGCTGTTTATCACCAACCTGGTCAGCAGCTGGAGCAGCAGCAGTGGATGTGACACACAACTAATGGAGACAATTAAGGTATTTTCTTCCCCCACCGAGCTCAACTCTTTGTCAGAGTTATAATTCGGTCAAATCACAGACATTTTTACATACACACATTTTATATTCGGTGTCTTTTACACTTTCCAAGGATATCTTTAACTATGTTGTCCAATAAACGTCCATAAATCCGCTAAGAAATCAGAAACAAACAACAAACAAACGAACTGGCGAACTCGCCTGAGAATCAGCACGTTTTTAAGTTATCTTCAGTATCAAAGTGGTCTAATGACATTGTTTTTGAAGGTGCATTGATATATTGCAAACATAATCTGCTAATACTTAATTCGGCATAGTTTTAATGGTGCCAATTTACCAAACTCTTAACAAAAAGGCTAAGAAAAAAACATGTCTCAAATTTAGTACAAAGCTACCTAGCTAACTTCCTGTTTACGGCCCCCAAATTATGGAAACTGTTGTTCCAAAACTAATAACATTTTTATCCTCAAAGACAAAGAATGATAATTATAGTTTCGAAATCATTTGATATTAACCTTAACTTTAAATGTTTTCACTATCAATATTTTTGACATTACTAAGGCTTGTGCTGAATGACAGTGTCGTTCATGTACTGTACATGTATGGTGGCGGTGCTGGTTGGTGCTGGTTGGGTGGTGGGGGTCAGTCAGTTGTGTCTGAAGAGGGGCCCGCAGTGTCAGAGTTTGAAAACCTCTGCTCCACAGAAACAGCTCTACCACTGGAGGGCAGTCCAGATTGATGTTTGTGTACTAGTACAATAATGCTGTAACCAGACTGTGGCTGATGTACAGGATTTAAGATTGTGCATACAAATGCATATTTTTCACATCACATGCTTTATGCAGAGAAAAATTATGAATTTAAACAGTTCTACTTCTGCTGTATATTACAACTCACTTGAATCCAAAAATAGTGGGAAGTGGCTATGATACATTTTTCTGCGTGCCAAAGAGCTGATGTTGTAACTAACAGATGTCTTTTGTTTGCATACTCTTTATGTTTTCTTGATGAGTTCTAATCCTTTAAAGATGATTCATTACGAAGCTCTTTTTTTTTTTATCACTCTCATTTATGAATCATATGAGGTCATAACAGTTGTTTTTAAAGGGCATAAATGAGGATTAGGCTGCATTTGCTGTGGATTTTCTGAGGTTTTACATCCACTAATTCATAATAAACAGTAATATAATAATTTTATTATCATCCACACAAAAGCTGGGAAAGAGCATCAAGTCAGTTTGCTTTGAATTCAGCCAAAGGGAAATTACTTTGCATCAGTGAGTCCTTTACTGCCAACAATGCTAAAACAAAGAAGAATCCAAATCCATGACTTTAACTCAGTTTCCATTTTATTTGCCTGACATTTCCAAGTGCTTTTGAAGCTCAGTCATTCAAAATGTGGAAAGATTTTTGGATTTTGCATCTGCAATAATGAAATTTGGTTGACTAATTAAAATGAATTTGGTTCAGCTGTTGATCCATGAAATGTCTCATAAAACTGGCTTTTGTATGGGAAACAGGATCTGCTGCTTTCAAAGTGAATAAGTAATTATTTAGAGTTTTGAGGTTTATTTGAGGTCAGAATAGGCCTGAACCAGCGTGACTCTGAGAGCTCAGCTTGGTCCTGAGCTGTAGTTTTTATCTTTCCAAACAAAATCGCTTTGTCTTGTTCCTTCCAGAGGAAATGATTCAGGTCAGAGTATTAGCAAAGAATGTAAGAACTGAATGTGGGCGATTTGCTGGAAGGTTTTACTCATCACAGTGTCACAATGACCCTTAAGCATAATCATCATTTGTGCCGAGCTTGGAGAGCCTGACATGGTTTGAATGGGATCTGAAATTTGGTGTTTCACTCCCAAAATACTTCAGGTTTTGTATTATTTGGTATTTTATGACACACTTTTGAACCTCAACAAAGCTCCTTGGAGACACTCCCTGGGGTTAGCAGTTAGAGCAGGTAGGCGTAGCTGCTGCACTATCAGGCTAGACAGTGAGCTCATGGGACTTCCCCACCGTCCTGGTCCTGTTCTGTGCTTACCTACTTACATACTGTCTGTCTGAAGGAGGCCGCCAAAAGCCTCGTCCCTTTCTCCAGATATGAGTTGATCATAGAGGATTAGTGGAGACAAAGTGGCACAGAGCCACTGCTGAGTGTGCTGGGGTTTAAGCATGCCCAGCCCAGTTCTGTGTCATCAAAAAGGTTTACTTAAAATATACGGGTATTATCTCTCTCCTCTGTGTGGGTGTGTGTGCTGGCGTGTGTGCGCACAAGCACTGTTATCCAATTTTTTGTTGTATGATGGTGATTGATACTTTGAATGATACAGGCTCATCAGAAAGGATTAAAGTTAGGATCTTAACAGGACAAAGTCTCCCTCTCTGTCTCATTTGATCTTGATGGGTCCACTTGATTACAGGTGTGCACACACGCTCACACACACACACACCAGATGCGGTATGCGCACAGGCCTGTATCCCCTCCAGCACCCGCACGCTCACTCATGCAGCTAACAAGCCCGTCCGTATCATGTCTACCTCCCTGCTGCTGCAGCATAAAGACTCGGGTAACATGACTGGGACTCAAAGAAAACAGTCCCTCATAACCCAGAGCCTGAGGGTACCTGTGGTCATAACACTCATGAGAAGGTTTCAGCTCATGTGACATTTCCACTGGTGCGATGTTACAAATGCAACACAACTTAAATGTGCTTTTGCCACTGGAGTTGCTAATTTTTGACATGCAAGAGTAAGTCTTTAAGTTAGTTAGAGTGGCTGTGTGTGACACCTCTGTTTCGTCCCACTTGATAACTGTGATTCCTCCCTCCCTCTCCCTCTCCTGCTCTCCGTTAGTGCCAGTGACTGAGGCTGTGGTCAGGAGGCATTCCTGGGGCAAACCCACAGTGTTCGCTGGGATGCCTGTACTAAAGTGTGGAACTCAGCAAGCCACTCTGCTCCCCTGTGGTGCTGGCATGGTGAGTACCAAGAGATCCTGCTGGGCCTGCGGTGGTGTCGGTAACCTCGCATAGGAAGCCCCCGCAGAGAGGAGAAAGAAGGGAAGAAAGAGGAAAAAGTTCCGAGCTGTGAGTCTTGGCATTTTCACACATAAATCTTTCAGACAATTGGGGAGCATAAAAGTTGAACTGGAAGAAAGTAAATGAGGAGCTGAGGTGATGTGTCCCTGTGTATGACCATCTGGAAGAGAACATTAGGCTCTCTCCGGGGCTTCTAACTCCTCAGTTCATTAGCATGCAATAGAGTACAGTGTTGGCTATCGCAGACGCCTCCCAACATGCATCCATCTTGCATTTATCTTACTGCAACAGCTGTTGGGGCATTGTCTGACTTTGATTTTTCGGAGTCAAAATTACAAGCAGGTAGTGACAACACTGTCTAAAACAACTGTCTGGAAATATTTGTTGCCTTCTGATTTCTGAGAAGTGGAAAATTTTGGACTTTCCAAACACCCGTTGGTGGAGATAAAACAGTTGTAGCAGTTGTTAAATGTGGTGTATCTCTGATATACATCATTCATTTTTCATAAAGATCCAGATGGTGCCATGTTTGGTCTCTTTAAAAGAAAAAGCTATAAACTGATACTGCCTTCAAGTATTCACTTTATGCAGAACAAGTAACGGCAGCTTGGGGTCAGTCACTCTGCAGCAAATCTTACAAACAAGTTGCTTAAAAGCCGTTTCAGTCTCTGTGAGAAGAGGGAATAATACAGTTTCATTTGGCTTATTGTCTGTGAAAGATCCTCGCTGCTCCTTCGACACCTTCCACACTCTCCCACTCCCCTTTACCCAGTGTGTAGTCCTTTTTCATGACGAGCGTCATAAATTAAACATAGCCTGGGCTTCCCTTGTGTGTCTGTTGGTGAAAAAATAGCTTGGTTTGGTGCACGTTGTGATGCCCGTGCACAGCCCTTTGTCTTTAATGACGTGTTGCCATGAAAGTGCGGTGATCCTCCAGTGTGACTTGTACTCAGGCTCTGTGGCAACCGTGTTCTGACTTTCTCAAACTCCCCGAGTGACTCTGAGCTCATTTGGTTATACAAGTGCTCACAATTACCCAGAGATTTGGACACAGGGACATGGGATATTTCCATATCCCTGACGGATGTTGTTTTAATTACACTGAACTGCTTGACTTTGTGCTGTGGATTTACATGTTTTTTCTTCTTCCGTGGACGCGAAGGGGGATTCTCGGAAGGTTATTCCTTTGTACTGAATCTCTTATTTATTGAAGCCCCTGGTCTCTGGTAAAACGTGTGGTAGCATGGGAAACCATATTAGATAACATGGTTTATGAGATATCTGTCTTTCAATCTAAGGCAGTTACAATTTGACACGTAATCTTTAAAGCACAGGTAATGACAAAATTCGGATAAGATGCAAGATAATGAAAAATAATCCTCTCTCCTCCCTCTCTGTCATCAGACGATCCATGTTGGGTGTGATTCAAATTCTCTGCATCATCTGAAGAAAGAAGAGTTGTTATCTCCAATCAGCCTCATTGTGAGACCCTAATTATATTTGATTGAGAAAAAAAATTACACATGGGAACAGGCGTGATAATTATAGTGCGGAATCTGCCCGTACGTTGAAATAGAAACATAAATGCATCAACACAGCTGATTAAGTTAGGCGATAATACAGGAGATAGCAGGTGTGGAACTACAGATGCTATTCCTCCTGCAGGGTGCTCCCTGAAAACAACTGCCATTGACGGTGAAATGTGGCGCAGTAGCTCAGTGGGTTGTGCTCCTGGTAATGTGAGAGAGGTCTGTTTTGATTCATGTAACTCCTCAAGCCTCATTCCTCTTCAGGTCTTGTGGGTAATGGTGTGCATACAGGGCCTTGTGATCAGTGATTTTCAGGAATGGTTGATGGTGCCGGAGTGAAAACTTTAATCCCTATTCCACTTCAAAACACTTTTAGCATACTGATACTGTTTCATCTTTATTTGGTTTAAGGAAGTATTGGCATGAGGAGTTTTGTTTTTACAACATGCATCAAAAATACCTGAGTGAATCTCATTATGACGGATTTCTGACACCAAGCAGGGCTTTAGTTATTCAACGCCAGGAGCAAAAATCAATGAGGGAAATGTGGCAGTTGAGCTGAATCTCCTGCAGGGATAATGTGGTGTTGGTCATAGTTTTGGAACCAGATGACACAAATTATCTTTTGCATTGTTTTTGGTTCCTATGCCAGATGATTATTATATAAAGCTTTCATCAGTGTTCCTGTAAACAGTTACTGATTGTTAGTTATCATACATACTGTGTTTTGAACAGCTGGTGTAGTTTATTCAGTCAACATAATAACTTAATATCAGCAGGGCTTTTTATATTAAAAAAAAAAAAAAAAAAGAAAACATTTTCCTTCAAATGCATAGGCTATTTTCATACAAGTCACACGTTCATTTGGGTTTCAGTTCTTCATGCAGGACCAGTTCCAGTTATAACAGGAATATGAAATTGCTTTGGGCCCTCAATTGACCTTGAAATAAGGATGATATGCAGGGAAATCAGTTGATATATGAAATAAAACTAGGTTTTCATTTTCTATTTTCAAATGCGTTTTGCAATTTAGTTCTTAACTCTGTCAACTGAACTTTTAACTTCATTGAACTAGTAATGGGCAGATGGCATGAAGGACATTAATACCCACCCACCCATTAAATAGTTTAGTAAAAAAATGTTTGTGTCTTGATTTGGCTTTTTATTTTAAATGTCAACATTTATTGTTGACAAACTGCTTTATTGACAGCATTAATCCACCATCCGTGAGCTGTAGTAACATCTGCGCTGCACCCATGACCCCATGAAAATAGGCGTTTATTGGTCTGTTAGTTGGGCTGGATGAGCTCTTACACAGTCTACTGGAGTAAGAACAAAATTCAATCTCGAGGCTATTACTTTTTCCATCTGAGATATTTATAAATCCATCCGCCGTCTTGTACCCCTTTCAGACATTGCTTTTACCCACGCGACGTCCCGGGCCACTTTTTTTTGTTGGCGCAGGTGGCACTGGCCGGCCAGGTGAACAACGCACGAGCCACCAGACCCATCGTGGCCGTGCACGTGGGGGTAACCTTTAGGTTAAGTCCAAGCAGCACCTGTGTGTGTGTGTGTGTGTGTGTGTGTGTGTGTGAGAGAGAATTTTTGCAGAACTTAAAAAAAAAAAAAGGAGGTCGCGACAGCCAGTGAGGGCAGAGAAGGAGCAGCGGAGGAGTCCGGAGCGCAGCGCGGACGCTGCTTCCTCTTCTCTCCTCCCCCTTCAGACCCCGCCGCTCCACTCCATCTCTCTCTCTCTCTCTCTCTCTCTCTCTCTCTCTCTCTCTCTCTCTCTTAAATTGACATTGGTCTGGCTCGAAACATGATAACAAAAAAGCCTGCCTCCGCTCCGCGTTGTCGGGCTATCCTCAACCCCGATCACTTGAAACTCAAATAAGCAGGCGTAAAGAGGAAAAGGGATCGCACAGGATCCTGTCAGCGGGTGCTCAGAGGGAATAACAAGAGACCTTTATACCACACACACACCCTTGTATGTGCTCTTGCGCATCGCAGACCTTAGAAAGTGCTGGTGTTCAACTACAGTGAAAGTTAACATGTATATGCACGCTTTGATTCGCGCAAGCCTTGGATTTGTAGGTTTCTGCTTGGTCGTCTTTGTCCAACAGTCAGCTTCAGGAAGTAAAACCACTCAAGGTAAGTTTTCACCTCCAAATAGCTTTGATTTTACTCATCGTGGCTGGGAATGTACTGCTTTTTGCTTGACTGCTTGGTGCCTCATTAATAGATGTATTGGATTGCGTTTGGAAAGAAGACACTTATAAAAATTGAGATCAGTAGTTTAAATAAATGGATTTTGAATTTATGTGTATAACAACAAGTTATGAGCTGAATGTAGAGGGTAAGATTGAAGTTTTAAGTGACTTTGCTCCATCAATTATTCTTAGTTTAATTCAATCAGACACCTTCTCTTGATTCAGTGCCTAATTTGGCAATCTCTTAATAGCTGTTTTCTTGTGTCAGTGTGCTCAGTTTCTTCATATTTCTGCCGACTTGCCAAGACAGAAGAGAAAGGAAACATAATGAGGCTTAAATTAAGTTGTTAAAAAAAAAAACAGTTGTCTTTGATCTTCAAACGGCATCAGCAGTGTGAACAGTTATGTTTCATAGCTAATCCTGCAGGTAATTGTAGTGAGACTACCAGGAGGCATTTGTCACAGTCCAGACAAGTATTTGACACCAGCCTGTAACACACACATGGAGGAGTCTGTGTCTGTCAGACACTGCAGCTACAGTACCGTCCTGCCCAGCTGGCTGCCCTCTTGCTCCCTTGTCTTGTGAGAAATTATTCAGACCAGACAAGGGCAGCCTGAATAAAAAAAAACAAAAAAAAAACTAAAAAAACTCTGGCACCTTACAGGAACAAGACAGACACGGTGTGTTATTCACTCCATTTCTGATCCACTCAGTCTTCTCCTCCAGGTTTTCATCACTTAATTTTCCCACAATACAAAATGCCAAGGCAGAGCTGCCAGAAGTATTTGCATGCAAAGACACATCATGGTTTCTGTGTGAGTGTTGATTGTGGTTGGTGATGTTTTGCACACACAAAAAGACATCTCTCGGGCGGTCGACAAGGCAAAAAGAGAAAGGGGGTGGGTGACTATTTTGCATCCTGGGTGGTCTGCCCCCACTTGTGGGAAAACTCAATATTTACATTTTGCAATTAGAACTACTTTTTTCTCACTTTATTTTCCACAACATCGATTACACACTTCCTTGTAGTGTGGAATGCTTCTGTATGAGAGTCGCTCTGTAGTGGCATGCACCTGTTTGTTGGTCACACAGTGAAACGCCGGACGACCCCCACTTGATAGGCTTCTCCTCCAGTTCCTGTTTATCAGTGCAAGACAAGCAGCCCTGCAGTGACATACTATCTGTGTTTGGTTGTGAAGTTATTTGTGAGCATATTTTGTGCCTAACTGAAAATAAATACAGTGTTTGATGTTGGTGGCAAGTCTGTGGCACTGACAAGTCTGCAAGCTGGGAACAATTTTGAAAAATGCAGAAACAGAGAGGAACAGTGACTAGAAAAAAAAAAAGCTGCACAATTTGTCAGCTCAATATTTATTCAACGCAGATGTTGCCGACAAGAGTCTTTGTCTTTCATCAATGTCAGTCTAATCATGGCACTGAGTTTCAGGCATCAGTCATTACTATAGGAAAAAAAAAAGTGAAAGAGCAGTGGAATGAGGGAGGGAAGGTTTGAGGATGTGGTGGAGAGAATGACAAAGAAGGGAAAAATGAGAGCGGGGAAACAGAAGAGATTAAGGGTGCAGAGACAGACGGTGAGAGAGGAGGTTTCTTAGCGAGCGAGCAGCAGCAAGCGAGGAAAAGAGAAGGAAAGGAAAGAGGGGAGCCACAGACGTCATGGCAAATCACTCTCCCTCGAACAGAGTCAGGAGCTCTTCGCTAATGCAGCGGCACCAAGGCAACGGTTGGTGTGGGGCTGACATGCTGCCGTGGCTGGCTGTGTTGGTGTAACCTCTGCTCCGGGGCCTGGGGGTCTAAAGACGCAGGGCTGCCTGAGCAGGGAGGAAGGCCAGATCCAGGCCTGGGCACACTGTGGGAACCAAGCAGCCCTGGCAATATGAGGCCCAAGTGACGGGGAGGCTTACCTAGAGATGCTGCCTGAGTCTCCACTATGAGCGAGATGGAAGGGAAGAAGAAATCCCCCTTGCACCCACCCCCAACACCCACTCACCCCTTTCCTTTTTCACCCAACTCTTGCTTTGTTTGCTTTGTCCCCGCTTCCTTTCCTTTGCACTTAATGAAGTAGCTGTGCTTTTTCTCTGTCAGCCATAAGCAACGACTGCATTACACCCACTGTGTCAGAAAGCTCCCTGTCAGCCAATGTGCTATTTATATTTTTGCAACATAAAAGATGTGCACAGCTCCCCTCTGCCCCTTTCACCGCTTTCTGCAGTCATCTCCAGCCCACTTTTGTTACTTGATAGAAAGCTGGATATGCTGCAGGTCTGTGTAAGCACGCAAAGGTCAGTGTATGTGTGCGCATAATTGGGACAATGAGAGAGTGTATGGGCTGTGTCTGTGGTAATTTGGACAGTTCTTTGAAACTGTATGTGAAGCCACATAAAAGAACCATTTAAATGGGCCTTTTTATTTCTGTCTATCCCTTTGGCCTTGAACTTACGAGCGCTTGCTGTTTAGCAGAAAGAAGGAGGGGTAAAAAAAAAAAAAAAAAAAAAGACTGGCAGGCACTATCCTCTGTGAAAATGGCCAGTCATCTCACTTTAACATTTTGACACCACTTTCATCACCTTCGCTCTCATTTCTCAGGCTGTGTGGTTTCAGCATTACCCCTGAGTCCTGACAAGCTCCTGCAGTGGTATTTGTTGAGCTGCTGCACTTAACCCCTCAGAGACTGGATGTGCCTTTAACACAAGCAGGCACAAAAACCCCTATTTGTCTGCCGAGGTACCGGAGCTCAGTTTTTGTCAAAGTAATTTTTAAGAGCCAGCGAATGGAAGATGTATTCAGGTCAACCAGGAAAAAAGACGACTTCTGTCCTCATCGGGATGCTCTGTGACTTTGAGCAGTTAAGGACACTGTGGATCAGGACATTAGTGTTTGAATCACTTATTGACCACAGTGACAGGTCACCCATTAATTTTCTTTATCTACTTCTCACCATGTAAACCCAATTATAGCTGATGAGCTCCTAACCTGTAAATGCTTTTTTTCCCTACACAAAAGTACTCTCCTGTGATAAGAGTCGGGCTTGTTTGTCTTTTCCGTCTCTGCAGCAGGCATGCAGCATGTCAGCTAGTTGTGTTCTCGTTATGATCAGAGTGTCTGAGGCAGGTCGCGCCTCGGGCTAGCCCTCGGTCACTAGTTGATGAGTGGGTGGAGGGGATCAATCCGGCTTCACTTTACCACTCAGCAGACGCACTCAGAAAGCATCTGCCTGACAAGTGCTGCTCCAGAACCACTGTACATGTTGTTACAGAGCAGCCGAGAGAGCAGAGAGATTATTATCTTGGCATTACTTGAGTGGTGAAAACACTTGATAACAATTCTGTCCAAGAGCAATGTGGTATGAATCACGAAGATGACTTTGATCTGTGGGTGTGTTGTGAGGACAAGTGAATGTGGATGACTGCGATGAGTGATTTTAGACTGGATATTAATGACTGCACTTAGCAGACTGTAGGTCTTTCACTTCCCAAAATGAGGCTCCATTATAGAGGGAGAATCCTTTAAAAAAACAGGATGGCTCCAGCTTATTGTGCCTAGTTTTTTTTTTTTTTTTTTAATTCCATGGCTTCAGTGTGGCCAAGCTGCAGCTTTATACAAACACTTTAGTTCAGTTGTAGGGCAGGCAGGCAGGCTGCAGCTACATACAGAATGAGCACCATGTTTACAGGCGCATGTAAAGTTAAAACTGTCTGGTACAAGCTGTGACCCAAGGCGATTCAGTGGGCCTTCGTTCTGGACAGTTGCTCACTTTCATCCTGGCCGCTGGAATGTATAACCAAGACATTTTCCTCTCTGCAACAGAGTGTCAAAGATTCTGGCCTTAAAAAAAATCTGACTTCCCACTCAAGGTCTCGAAAACAAGAATTTCAATAAGTGCACTTTCCAAATGATTGTTTGGAAAATTGCAAGGTTAGGCGATAAAGTTTTACTGCCACATTTCCATTTAGGAAATTAAGAATTTATCAGCATCACATAAATGTTTCCAGCAGTAATGTAAAGGAATAGTTCAACATGTTGGGGAAATACACTTTCTAGTGGAGAGTTAGGTGAGATTGATACAATTTTAAAACTGTCTGTTAAACTCAAGGCTACAAACAGCAGCTGGTTAGCTAAGCTTGGCACAAAGACTTGAAACAGGGGGAAACAGCTAGCCTAGCTCTGTCAAATGGTTACAAAAACTGCCTACCAGCACCTATAAAGCATATAATATAATAATAATATATAATATTTTGCTTATTTAATCCAATGCAACCCCCAACATGCTAAAATGTTGTTTTCACACTTTGGTTTTTGAAGGGATTAACAAACAAGTAATAACAAGTTACTTAGTGACTTTTAGATGTGCTGGTAGCAACTTTTTAGATTTTACCACTGACTTTATTCGCTGCGTCATGATAGAAAGGTGCCCATACTGGACAAAGTGCTGTTTCAGATGCTTTTATATCCTGCCAACATTAAAACTCCAAGGGGAAAAAGCAATATCTTGGCATGTAAGTGGTCAAATTTTAGGATATTAAATATGGCATAAAATGTTGGCTATCAGTATTATACTTTAAAAACAAAACAAAAACATAAGTGAAGCTCTGGCTTATATCCAAGCTACATCAGTAAGATGTGAACTTACTAATCACCACAGCTGTTGCCAGATCCCTGTTTACCTCTGAAGTGCTCTTATGGAAGTAGAGATGGAACAAAACAGATTTCATTTATTTAAAACTGGACCAAACGGCTGAACTCGGGTCTTAAAGGCATAGTTCGACAGATATATGCGAAGATCAATACCACTCTCAAGACTGTATGGTATGAAAGTATGAAGCTATAGCAAGCGTCTGGTTAGCTTAGCTTAGCATCAAGACTGAACATGGGAAAACAGCGAGCCAAAAATTCACCTACCAGCATCTCTAAAGCTCTGTTAG